TCTCTCCCTCTATTCGCCTCCTCCCCTCCCCACGTTCTTCCTCCTCCTCTACCTCTCCTTCGTCCTCTAACCTCCCCTCGCGCGTCTCCTCCTCCTCCAACGCTTCTCCCCCCCCGCCTCCTCTACCTTCTCGCCCTCCTCCTCCACCACCCTACTCCCACGTTCTCCTCCCCTGCCTCCACCTCGCTCCTCTCCTCCCTCCCCTCCTCCACTCTCTCCTCCTCTACCTGCTCTCCTCCTCCTCCTCCTACCTCTCCATCTTCTCCACTTCTCCTCCTCCTCCACTTCTCCCGCTCCTACATCCACGCCACCAACTTCTCCCACGTTCTCCCCTCTCTTCCTCCTCCACCTCTCTCATCCTCTCCCTCCAACCTCCTCTTCTCTCCTCTCCCCCCCTCCTCTCCTCCACCTTCTCCCCCCTCCTCCTCCTCCACCTTCTCCCCCCTCCTCACCCCCATCAACGTTCCTCCCCACCTTGCTCCCATTCTCCTCCACCACCATCTTGCCCTCCTCCTCGAGCGCAGACTGCTGTATCACTGGGGTCATAGAACACCAATGAAAAATAGAAAGCACCAAAGTGATAAATGTCAAAGTCCGGGGTTACAATGTCCGGGGGTAAGCCGGGTAATATGTCGCGGAGGGTAAATTCCGGGGGTAAATGTTCGGGGTAAATGTCCGGGGGTAATGTCCGGGGGTAAATGTCCGGGGAATTGTCCCGGGGTGATTGTCCGGGGTGAATTGTCAGGGGGTAAATGTCCGGGTAATTGTCCTGGGGTAATGTCCGGAGGTATTGTCCGGGTAATCGTCCGGCGGTTTAAATTCCGGGGGTAAATCGTCGGTAATTGTCTGGGTAAAATTCCGGGGGTAATTGTCCGGGGTGAATGTCCGGGGGTAATTGTCCGGGAAATTTCTCGGGGAATTGCCGGGGTAAAGTCCGGGATAATTGTCCGGGGGTAAATGTGCCGGGGGGTAATTGTCCGGGGGATAATTGTCCGGGTTAAGCAATGGCAAGGGGGTAAATGGCAAGGGGTTATTGTCTCAGGGGTTAATTGTCCGGGGGTGTACATTTGTCTGGGGGGATTGGTCCGGGGTATGTCCTACCCGAACCGTATGTAGTATGGTATGTATGCATCATCATGCATGATTATGTATGTATTATGAGAGGATGTATTATGTACGATTATGTATTATGTATGTATGTAAGTATTAATTTTGTATGTAAGTATTATTTAATGTATGTATGTATGTATTAGGTATTATGTATAGTATGTATGATATGTATGTATGTATTATGTATTATATGTATGATGATTATGTATTATGATGAATTAATGTATGTATTATGTATGTATGTTATTATTATTAGTATGTATGTATGTATGTAATTAGTATGTATGTATGATTATGTAATGTATGTATGTTATTAATTATTGTAATTATGTATGTATTATGTATGTATGTATGTATGTATATGTAAGTATGTATTTATGTATGTATGTATTTATGTTGTTGTATTAAGTATGTATGTATGTATGTATGTATGTATGATATGTATTAAATGTATGTATGTATTATGTATGTAGGAGCGTATTATTATCTATATGTATTATAGTATGTATTTATGATATGTAAATGATGTATGTATGTACGTGATAATGCTATGTATCTGGGTATATTATATTATAGTATGTATACGATGTAATGTATGTCATGCATGTAGTTATGAATATGTATGTAAGATCTATATGATATGGTATGTAATGTATGTAATGTAGTATCGTATGGTATGTAGTATGCTAATGTATTGTATGGTATTAGTATTATTATAGATGTAATGCTAGGTAGCTATGTATGTAATGTATTATGTAATTATGGATGTATGTATGCTTTATGTAATGTCAGCATCATGTAGTATGGACAGTAATTATTAATGTAATGTATTATGTAGTATTATGTATGATGTATGTATGTATTATGTAAGTAATGTATGTAGTAGTATGTTGTATGAGTATAATGTTATCTATTATGTAGGTATTATTATGTATTATGTAATGTATTTAGTGAGTGTATTATCAGGTATAGTGATTGTATTATGTAATGTAGTATGTATATGCTATGTATTAGATTAGTATGTAGTAAGTATTATGTAGTATGTATTATGAATGTAATATGTATGTATGTATGTATGTAGGTATAATAAGTACTGTATGAATATGCATGCATGTACGTAGAAGTATGTAATTTAGTGTATCGTATGATATGTATGTATGTAATGTATTTGTATTATGTATGTATATGTATGTATGTATGTATGATGATGTTATGTATTAGTATGTATTATAGCTAGTATGTATGTATGTATTATGTAGTATGTATGTAATGTAGGACAAGTATGGTATCGTATCGTAAGATATAATGTATTCTGTAACTGTATGTATTAATTTATATTATGTATTATTATGTATGTATAGTATGTATTCATTATATTATGTATGTATTATGTATATGTATGTTATATTAAGTATTAAGTATGAGAGGGGGGGCGGGGTATTTAGGTATGTAGTGAGTATGTATATGTATGTATGTATTGTATTATTGTAATGTTAACAGGAGGTGTATTAATGTATTATGTATGTATGTATGTATGTATGTAATGTAGTAGTATCTATGTATTATGTATTATTATGTAGGTATTTATGTAGTATGGCTATGTATTTATGTAATTATGTAATGTATGTACGGTATGAGTAGTAAATATTGTATGTAGGTTGTAGTAGTAGTACTGTATGTATTATATATGTATGTATTATGTATGTATTATGTATTATGTATTTATGTAGTATTATGTATGCGTATGTATTATTAATGTAAGTAGTTGTATGTAATGTAGTTATTAATATGTAGGATGTAGCATGCATGTACTGTAGAAGTATGTAGTATTTAATGTATTATGCTATGTAGATGTATGTATGTACTGTATGTATGTACTATGTATGTATGTATGTATGCTATGTATCGTATGGTATGTATAATGTATTAGTATTTATGATATTATTAATCGTATGTAATGAGCTATGGTAGCAATCTACTGTATGTATGCATGCAATGTAATTATGGTGAAGTAAAGTATGTATTAATGTTTGTAATGTAATGTAGTATGTAGCTAGTATGTATTATTAAGTATCTATTATGTATGTAATTATGTATGTATGTAATTTAATGTATAATGTTAATGTATGTATCGTATGTATGAGATATGTATGCTATTATGTATTATTATGTAGTAATGTATGTATTAGTATGATGTATGTAGTATATTAGTATTGTATGTATATGTATGTAGTATGTATGTATGTATGTATTATGTATGATGTATTATGATTATGTAGTAATGTATGGATCGCTAGTATGTAATGTATGTAGTAATGCTATGTATAGGATGGTATGTATGTAGTATGTATGTATGTATGTATGTATTATGTAATTATTTATGTATGTATGAATATTCTGCTGTGGCGCGTGCGCTTCTCTCCAGCACATGGGCAAGTGTCGCAACATATTCCATCGCGCCAAGTTAACAATGATATCGCAATGAATGAGGAGGTTCGGACCGACCAATATGTCGGGCCAAGATCCAGCCTGGATTAAGGCAACTAACGTTTGATGAACGCAAGCAGCAGCGACGGACGCCACAGACTAACCACCACAACAACAACATCAACAACAACAACAACAACAACAACAACAAACAACAACGCACAACACTTACCACCACTGACGACGACAAACAACAACAACAACAACAGCGAACAACAACATCGCCACCAACCACCACACGGCAACAACAACAACACAATAACAACAAACAACAACAACAACAACAAAACACAGCAACACAAGCAACAAACAACCAACAACAACAACACGCCCACTCCGAACACCACCACACCACCTAATCCTACAACTACCAGCGACACCAGCCCAACCCCCAACCACCACATACCAGACAGACCGACACCACCGACCAACCAGACACACACCAAAACAACCAGCCACCACCACACATGCACCAACCACCACACCACCACCACACCAACCACACCCGACCACCACCAACCCCACAACTACCACACCACGCGACCGACCTTCCACCATACCACCACCAACCACTAACTACTACGCCACCGAAACTTGCCTACCCGACCATCACCACCAACTACACCACACCACCACCATTCAACCACCGACAGCCACCACCAACACCACCCACCGAACACACACCTAAACAGCCCGATACCAACACCACCGCAACACGCACCACAAACCATACAGCACACCACAAACGACCCGGCGAACCACTCCTATCTATCTATCTCTAAACCAACACCACACCACCAACCGACCACCAACCACCACCACTCACACACCCGGGCGCGGAACCACGAGCGCGACCCACCACCAACCGCTACCACCAACCAACACACACCACCAACACCACCGAACACCACCAACGACACACAAGCACCAACCAACAACCACGAACCACCACTACCATCACTTACCACACAACACCAGCACCAAGCAACCGAACTACGAAGCAGCCACAACGAACAACATATCCGATTGCGATCCAAGCACACAACAACATCATACATCATCATCATCATCATCAATCATCATCGCCAAAGACAAGACAGCAAAGCAACACACACAGTCACAACTAACTGTTTGTTGTGTTGTGTGTGTGGTGTTGTGTGGTGGTGTGGGGTGGTGTGGTTGTGTGTGGTAGAACCCAGCCTCGCTGCCGCGACGCCTGCGCGAAAATGATAGCGGACTAATGCAGACGGCACTACAAATCTGGAAGAATTTAACATGTATTCCGAATGCATTCGGACAAAGTTTTGGCCGGCTGGACAGGCGACAGTAGAGAGGACTTGTTGGGTAGAGGCGGAGACTGGCGGCAAATTAGAAGTGTAAACCGCAGAGTACTATAGTTGTAGTAGTAGTAGTAGTAGTAGTAGTAGTAGTAGTAGTAGTAGTAGTAGTAGTAATAGTAGTGGCAGTAGTAGTAGTAGTAGCTGGTGCTCCCAGAACAGTCGCCGACGACGACAACGCGACAGAGAGAAGCGCACGTACGTCGGGCGATCGTCTGCGTCGTGACGTCACGCGCGCACGCGGGGATGCTGCGAGCGGCGGCGGCGGCGGTGGCGGCGGCGGCGCTCCGTCTGTCATCGCCTGCTGAGCGTGCGTCGTGAGAGAGAGAGAGAGTGTGAGCGAGCCAGGGCGAGAGCTGTGTGTGCGCGTGTGCTGCCACCATCCTCACCACTCGCAGCAGCAGCAGCAGCAGCAGCGGCGGCAGCGGTGGCTGAGGTGGCTGAGATCAACACGCGGCGGAGAGAGAGCGCGCGAGCGATAGCTAAATCATGGCTGGCCGTAGATGCTGGCGGCTTGCTTCTGCAGCTGCCTCGCGGCAGAGCTGAGAGTAAACGTAAGCGAGAAAGAGAGAGAGAGGGCACGACCGCGACAAAGACAGAGGGAGAGAGAGAGAGAGAGGGCAGACGAGTATCAGAGAGCAACCTCTCTGCCGTCATCGTCTGCTGTATACTTGTCGTCAGTGTCGTCAGTGACCTGTCGTCGGTGACCTGTCGTCGGTGACTTGTCGTCGGTGACCTGCCGTCATTGTCGTCAGTGACCACGCGAGCACGCGTGTCGCCGGTCAGTCGTGTGACGTACGCACGCACTCTGACGTCATCAGCCGGAGATCTTCTGCTCGACCGCGCTCTCGTTCGTCGGGCACCCTACAACGCTCGATCGAGAGATAGAGAGAGAGAGAGAGAGAGAGGGAGAGAGAGAGAGAGAGAAGGAGAGAGCGAGGAAGAGAGAAACAGTGAACCTTCACAGCCGGGGTCTGACATCGTGTCCCCAGAGAGACGTAGCGCGGCCCGCCGACCGACGCAGGCAGACGACAACGCGTACGTATCATCGATGACGTAATCATCGTCATCGTCGTCATCGTCGTCGTCATCGTCGGGCGGCACCGCTGCGTCTATCCTGCGTCTAGCTGTGAGGAGGTGTGACAAGATGTGAGGAGGTGTGACAACGTGCGACAGCGTGTGACAGCGTTCGACAGCCTGTTTAAGTGACAAGCTGTGTGCGACAGTCTACGTCAGAGTGTGCGTCGCAGTGCGCGACAAAGTGTGCGACAACGTGTGACAACGTGCGACGACTTGCGACAACGTGTGACAGCGGGTGATAACGTGTGACAGCGTGCGACAACGTGCGACAACGTGCGACAGCGTGCGACAACGTGTGATAACGTGCGACAACGTGTGATAACGTGCGTGCGAGACCCTGTGACCGCAGGGTGTGGTCGCCCAGGTGTGTTTACCTGCCTATGTGAAAGCTCAGCTACATATGTCACTACTATTCATACACAGGTAAGATCGCGAGAGAAATGCATTCGCCCACACCACCGCCGGTGCGGCCGCCGTCACCGCCGTCGCAGCCGCCATATTGCTAGCTGCAGCCGACACTGCAGTACAGTATGTGTCACGCGTGACGTGACGGCCCTGACGTCAGACGCTAGCAGACGACACGCGCGGCGGTTCGCGTTACGAAAGACGAAATTCATGACAAAGAAATTCATTAGTCAAATCATAATAAAGGGCAAAATACAGCGCTGCGTATGGGTTGTAACTCGGACAGCAGCAGCATCGGGAGCAGCAGCGGGAGCAGCGTTCTTCATACATCGATAGCATTCTTCGTTTTCGTCGTCTGTGGTGATAGCGGGTGACAGCGATGAGGTGATAGCGCGGGTGACAACGTTGACAGCAGGTACAGCAACAACGACGGTGAGGTGACGACAGTGACAGCATAGTGTTTATCCCGCAGCAGCAGCAGCAGCAACAACAGCAGCAGAAGCAGCGGCGACAGCAGAAGCAGCAGCGACAGCAGCAGCAGCAGCAATAGCAGCAGCAGCAGCAGCACCACCACCACCACCATCAGCAGCAGCAGCTGCAGCAGCAGCAGCAGCAGCAGCAGCGACACCACAATGGCTGCCGTCGCTGCGTGGTTGCCGTTCGCGCGCGCCGCCGCCATCGGCTGGGTGCCCATCACACAGAACACCTACCCGCCCGCACCTGTCACCAAGGAGGACCGTCGCAACGACAAGAAGATCGGGATCAACGTTAGCGGACGCGTCTTCGAGACGTGGCGCAGTACGCTGGAGAAGTTCCCGGACACCTTGCTCGGCTCCAACGAGAAGGAGTTCTTCTACGACGAGGAAACGAAGGAGTACTTCTTCGACCGCGACTCGGAAATCTTCCGGCACGTGCTCACCTACTACCGCACGGGCAAGCTGCACTACCCGCGCTTCGAGTGCGTGCAGGCGTTCGACGAGGAGCTCGCCTTCTTCGGCATCATTCCGGACATCATCAGCGACTGCTGCTTCGAGGACTACCGCGACAAGAAGCGCGAGAACAGTGAGCGACTGATGGACGA